CGAAACATTAGTCTATCGTATGTATTAATTGCTTGGTTGTATTAAGTTCTTGATATGTTGGTTCTACTTATCATTCAAGTGACTTATTTCTATCCTAGTAATTTGAACTGTATAGTGGCGGTGAGTTCTTTCGTATTGCTTGTCTTTTTTGATGCTCAGTTTCAATATTTGCTATATTTGTGGTGTGGGTTTTTGTTTTTGTGTGTGGTTGTGTTGGTGGTGTGTGTGTTTGTTGTGTTTGGTGGGTTGTTTTGTTGTGGTTGGTGGTTGTTTTTTTGTTTTGTGTTGGTGGGTGTTGTGGTGGGGTGGTTGGTGTTGTGTGTTGTGTGTGGGTGTCTTTGGGTGTGTGTGTTTGGTTTTGTTGGGTTTGTTGTGTGTTGGTTGGTTTTTTTGTGTTGGGTGTTGTGTGTATATGAGTTGTGTTGTGTGTGTGTTGTTGTCTGTTGTGTGCGGTGTTTTCGTGGTTTTTTTTGTATGGATGGTGGTGTTGTGTGTGTTTTGGTTGGTTCGAAGGGGTGTGTGTGTGTGTGTGTTGTGGTGTGGTGTTTTGATTGTGTGTGTTAGTGGTTGTTTGTGTGGGGTTTTTGTTGTTTGTTGTTGTGGGTTGGGTGTTGGTGGTGTTGTGTTGGTGTTGGTGTTGTGTGTGTTTTTTGTGGTATTGTGTGTTGGTGTGTGGTAGTTTGGTTTGGTTGTTTTTGTGTGTTTGTTGGTTTGGGGTTTGGTGCAATCTGTATTTCTTGGTTGGTGTCGTTGAATTCTTATGCATATGTGTAGTTCGTAGTAGCTAGATAAGTGTGATGTGTAGTTATGTGGTGTGTTTGGTTGGTTGTGTGCTCAGATTCAGTTAATGATGCCTCATTGAGTAGGTTGTGTTTTGTAGTGGTTGTGTGTGGTGGTGGTTGTGGTTGGTGTTGGGGTGTGTGTTTGTGTGTGTGTGTGTATCTGTTGGTTGGTGTGTTGTGGTTTTGTCTTTTTGTGGGTTTATTGTGTTTTGGGTGGTGTTGTGTGTGGTTTGTTTGGTGTGTGTGTTTGGTGTTGGTTGTGGGTGTTTGTTGTGTGGTGTTTTTTTGTGTGGTGTGTTTGGTTGGTGTTGGATTTGTTGTTTTGGTGGTGTGTTGTTGGTTTGGTTGGGTTGGTGTTTGTCCTATCTTTTGCAGAGCAATCATATACCTATTCTTACTTTGTGTTGTTTCTGTCATCATTTTTCGGTTAGCTTAAGGCGGCTGTTTGAGTGGTTGGTTGGGCAGATGTTAGTCTCTTGATGGCTTGTGGTTTGCGTTCAGATCTGTTTTTGTGTGTGCTCAAGTGTACTGGTTTGACAGGTAGCTTCTTTCTCATGATGGGGAGCGTGGTTCTTCTTGTGCTTTTCTGGTGTTGGTTGGCGTGTTTAGAATCCCGTCTGCGATGATGGTTTCCGAATTTTATTTTTTGTCGAGTCGTTCTGCTCGTGAGCGTGTGGTGTTTCAACTCTGTCCTCCTTGTCATATGTGTCTGGTTTGAGGTATCTGTGTAGGAGTTGTATATATTAGGGTGTATGAAGTTGGTGTGTGTCTTGTGCGGTTCGTGTCAGTTTGGTTTGCCTGGCTGTATATGGATAGCAATGTGAGTCTGTTAGTATGTGATTTCATTTCGCTGTTATACTGGTGTGCGAGAGTGTTGAGTTCGGTCAGAGTGTGTTTATTTGTGTGGTTCATGCATCCTTATCTTGCCTTTTAATTCCTAAAGTCTCAAGATCCCACAGTTTTGTGTTGTAATGTTGTTGGTTTTCTTATAATGGTTGTTCCTGTGTTCGTCTGTGGTATGTTTCTGGGTTGGTATTACATGTTGTGGGTGGTTGGTGTTGTGTTTTGTGGTGGTTGGGGGGTGTGTGTTTGTTTTTTCAGGATAGTTTATAGCGTTGTGTTTATGGGTTTAGTTTGGTTTTTACTCCATTACCCATTTACAACCAAATTTGAAGAAACAAGATTCTGCCAA